TGTTTCGGGGCGCAAGGAGACAAAGTGTCAAGATTGGTGTCTCGAAAAGCAAAAGAATAAATGTGGCTGGACAAGGCCAGCCTAAACATTTAAACATTCCACCGCATGGCCAGTACCATGTTTACGCTGCGTTTTTTAAGCATGGTACTGTCCTCTGTTGCGATCCTACTTTATTGGTTCTTGTCATGTTGGTGTCTCGAAACGTTTTTCACGTAGTATCAGCCTTGCAGTCTATTGCTTATAACGTAACGAATGCCGGAAAAAGCATGTCGAAAATATCAAAATGGCCAAGTTTGAGGCCCCGATCATTAAAGAATAAGATTTTACAACTGTCTGAATTTTTAGAAGAATAAGAAGATTTGTATGGATAAAGTTGTTGGAGAGCAAGGTCTTGCTCTCCAGCAACATTTTCTATACAAATCCTCTAAATTTTCAGAAAATTCAAACCGTCGTATAAACTTACTCTTTAATGCCAGGGGCCTCAAACTTGGCCATTTTGGTATTTTCGATGCGCTCTTTCCATTTCTGGTATTCTTCAAGTTATAGCCCATAATATGAAAATTTTTTACGAAAAATTTGGTCACGTGACCCCAGCTGCAAAGGGCCCATTAAGACCAGAAATAATTGGATTCGTTATTTGATGGAAATTTCAGTTAGGATTCTACTAAAACAATTAGATTATTCGCTCTCGATTTCTACGAGGTAATAGTTGATTCGGTCTTTGACCTCATCAACTATCATCTCATAGAAATCTCGAGCTCATAATCTACTTGCTGACTAGTTATGAACGAGAACGCCGAGTTTTGAAACTTGCTTTTGTTGGAGCTCGAGGCGCCTACTGACGTTTCATCTGTCAGTATTTCAGGCGTCTGGTTGTTTTAAGTCTCAAGTCAACTTACAATGTTTACCTTCAGTGTCTTCTCTATAAATGCCCGATAATATATATTCTCGATACTTAACTTGAAGTTGAATATCAAAATCGAATAAACTATCATCAAAAGTAGCAACAACATACACTCAACAGCGAAGCATTACCTGACAATGTTTTAATCAAATAAATTAGTTTTTGATTGTGGAGGTCAAGAATATTACCCAGAATCAGCACCAATCTAGCTGCCGTTTATCGTTTGTTACCCTCTGTACCATTGCAGGCTCCATAACTTTTAGATGTCTTGCTGGGAACAGTTCCATTTGAGTTTTAATAGAAAAAGCTACTGATCAAATTGTTAAGTCATAACAACAGCAATAACAACAACAATAAAAATTTATTAAGAGTGTGTCCATGAGAAAACCAGGCAGAACCAGGCAGGAGGTGATACAGCTCAAATCACCGATTTCGCTCAAACTTGGCACAAATGTTGGGTTTGTCGAGTAAATGATCATGGCAAGATATTAGGTCAAAATATTTTATTCCCTTCAAGTTAGGGGGGGCCCCGTCCAAAAATGGCTATTTGTCACTAATCTATGCATATTTAATTACCTATCTTTGATTTAGCATTTCTATACAACAAGAAAGGCCATGTGAAAATGAAATCCACTGGATCATGTTCTACTTTTATCAGTCTCAAAGCACAGTTATTCAATTGAATTAGACAATTTGATTTCTCTCCGTGGCTCCATCTTAAGTCAGGTGCATATTTCGTGGTGTTGTGAATAGCCTTTAATTGATGGCAAATATCTGCATTGGGCAAAAGTAAATACACATTATTCTAACATGGATAGTGAGAGCAATCACTAAAGTTCCCAAAAGAGCCATAAAATGTTTGGGGACTTCAATATTTTTTCTGTGCTGGCATACTGTTTACATAGTACTTTTCGATTTTTGGCCATTTTTCTGTCTTAACATAACTCGAAATCAACAAGAAATATCTACATAAGTATTTCCCTATCAATTTCCAGTTTAAATTCGGCGAAAAGAAGCACTTGAGACATTTCTTTCATATATTTTCAGAGCTACATTTTGTGACATTCTCACGATATCAATAAATCGCGGTAGAAGAAGATTCAACGTATAAGTTCCCTCAACTTATGTTTTCAGGTGTAAAATAGAATGGAAACGCAATTTTGCGCTCTCGTTGATTCTTGGATTGCAAAATGTCCAGTTTTGTGTCATCTGTTCCGCTGCCTCGACCCGAGGTTTAAAGAGAATATCCATTGCCATCCCGCTTTCGTCATCAGAGATATCAACATTTGTCGAAAAAGCTACTCAAAATGCCGTTTAAAATCTAGGAAGAGCCATCACTGCTGTAAGTGTTATAGCATACAGATTTCTTTCAAAGCCCACCACAAAACATTCCGCCATCTTTAACGATATTAAGCGGTACAGTTTGTATCACCATACATGGCGTATCTACCCAAATCAAAGAAGACAACGCCGACTTTCAACCTCTAAGTTAAAGATGGCGGAGTGCTTTGTAACGGATTTTAAAAGCAATCTGTTTGTTCAATTGGTGGCGCGGGTCCAGTTGCTGACCTTCGCGTACAACGCTTTCGGTTTTAACGAATGAATTGTCAATTGTTTACAGACAATTGAAAATGCCTCCCACTCCTCAATATAGCAACGTAACTTAATTTTCATTCATTTAGGATTTGGAGGGAAAAAACAAAACTGGCGAGAACTGATAAAAAGCAACCATTAATTTGGCTCAGAAGTACCTGTCCTTGAAAGCTGTTAAGGGTTCTGATGGTAAATTAAATGGGAAAGGTAACCTCCTTAGAGTGAAAATACCTCATCAAGGGATGTCATCTGCCACAAGGATAAGTGGCATCGTGATATTGTAATCAACGTCACGTTGTAATCAATACAGTTCAGATAGCACGAGTCTAGACTGCTAGATGGATAAGTCAATCTGCAACTGATAAAGCAACAGACGACACAGACTGTGATTCATATCAAGTTGCGCTTTTATCGAGTTTCACGATGTATATTTTGCCTTGATCGCCGAAAACGCCAGCTGCGATAAATGACTTTTGCTTTTATGCCAAACGTAGACAACATGAACTATTCAAGCTTGAGTGCAGCCCACGCAGAATGTGCGATACATCATTTGGCCTTAAGGCTCAGGAATTCAGTCATGAACCTTTCTTCAGAGATGTCAGACGAGTTTGATCTGACAAAAAAATAGCAGTTATTCAAAAGAACATTGTTCCATATATAGTAGAGGGACTAAGACCGGTTCCCATAACAATACATGTCTCGATGTCTTCACTCTGTTTAATCACGTATCTTTGGTAGGAAACATGTTCCGCATTACTGCCTTCATTAGAATAAGAGAACCGATCCTGCTTCTTATATATATCGCTAACATGGCTGCATCCGCTCTTCTGGTGGCAGTGTTTCTAATCCCTTGCCTAATCTTCAGACAAATCATCAGTTCGAACGATTTCCCGGCCGATGAAAAAAGGAACATTTTTCACTGTAACATATGCACTTTGCTGAGCGATATGTAGGTGCCAAGCCAGGGTTTAGTATTGATTATCATTGAAAGATTCCTAGCGATTGCTATTCCCATATTGTGTAAGAAACTCACCGTGAAAATACTTCGCTTTGTCTTCGTCTCTACTTGGGTCATGACCAAAGAATTGTACTCGCCATATTTTCACTCGTCTCGACTAAAGCGCCCGCTCCTAGATCCATCAGAAGGAGGTCATCTCGGTACGACTTCCCATGGTGAAATCCGATGTCACCCGAGGTCACCGCCGTCGTTTTGCGAGGACAGGAAGTTACCCGAAAGAAAATCACCTTCGTTTAGAAATTTGACAAAATCTGATAGTGAAATAGATCTATCTTTTTATGCTATTTTTTAGTTATTTATTTTTTTCATTTCATTCAGCAAATCTTGCAAACCTCCTTGTCGTGGATGGCTGATCACTGCTACAAAGTCGCGAGATCGCGTGACAATCTCTCAAAAGGAGCTGGATATCGAATCACCGAATATGGAGACAGACCAGGAGAAAGACAGTGGTTCTGTTGAATGAAACATCAGACAAACGGCAAAATTTGCAACAGCTATAGTCCGACGGCATAATTCCAAATCTCAGGCACTTTTTTTGTTACAAACGTGAAATTAGGCACAGTGATAGCTCAAGCATTTTCAGACTATACAGACCTATGCAGTGCCAGGCTGGACAGGCGCCAATTTCCATGGAAATGAGAAACTCAATCTATTAGAATTTACAAAATTCCTCGGCTGGTTTTAGTTTATCAGCAATACTTTTCATTTCAGTGGTTCTAGCTTGTTTTCCGTGTCCATTATGTTTTATGATATGCCACGTTACCCTTAGCTACGCGTTGCTGTGGAAACCAAAAAAAATTCAAAAGCCCACTGGTACTACTATAGAAACTGTAAAGTCGCGGATATCAAAGGCATTGCGACATTTGCCATACAGAGTATCGAGTGATCCGACATCCGGTAAACTGAATTGTTCCCAAAACACGCTATTTTGGGTGGAATATTGCTTCTCTTTCCCAAAGTGGTATTTCTTTCTCAAATGTACCACCAGAAATGATTTAAAAATATGTAACCTACTATCGATAACAAACTGGAGAGATTTTGTCGCGATTTAGGCATGGCATTTTTACAAATTTTTACGTGGGTTTTATGTAAATTTTTAAAAATCACTGCACCAGGGAAAACTGGGCTTTTTCGACAGCGCATGCTTGAAATAATAAATGTACCACCAAATTTTAATTAAAAACACATGAATAAGTTTGCAACATTTTGATATGTAATTCGTGGGAGTTGGCATGGATTACGGCGTGGCAAAATGACTTCGAAAATCTTCTATCTTGTTTTCTTTGTTGTATTTGCGTGTTGCACGACGGTGACCGCAATAGGTGATCATTCTGGAGGTCCAAATGACGATTCAAACGCGAAATTCAGCCAGGAGAATAGTCCTTCGTATACTTACGAGATCAACAAGTAAGTAAACTTATAAATATTTATTATATATATATATTTTTTTTTTTTTTTTTCGAGCATTATCGAAACTTAATAATATTGCCCTCCTCTTTTTTTTTCTTCTCACAGTTATTTAGTTTATATCATCCCGTCCAGTGTCAAACACATCCTGTTCTACTGGCAATTCTATTCTGACCTCCGGGTCTTCTTTCCTGCCAGACCACAGTTTTCGATTAATCGCTCTATATAAATTGCCGTGAAACATTTGCCTTCTGCCTTCTAACGTTTCGGCTGGAACATAAATTTTTTCAAGGCGGACAAATGATTCATCAAATTCATTTCCATAGCCAACAAAATGAATGTTCCTACATTTTTTCTTTGCTCACCTCGGTCACTTCAGTATCGTAGAGGTTGTTGTCCTTTTTTGGCTTTTTTTCATAGCACAAGGCATCGTTTGCTTAACTTCGTCAATAAAACGTTTTGGTTGCCGCGATTCTCTTTTTTGACGAGCCGCCATTCTGGATTTTCATCACACGGAGCAAGCGCAATAGTGCGACATTCATGTGAGAGTCACCAATATCAAATGTCCTACTTTGTGGGCAATGACTTTGATATAAGGCTCTTCATTCCGTCAAACGACTTCCGGTTGGGTAGACCATTATATATTATAAAACAGAGATTTGCACGTAGCAAATAAGTCAGTTCTTCCAAAGTTTTTTTTTTTTTTTGGAGCCACAATGGCCAAGCTCTTTACAGCTGACAGCTGCTGCTCGTAGTATAATCTATTGTAATCGTAGCTGCATCTTCCCTTCTCTGCCGAGAGATCAGTCCCAATCTGTGTTCATGCAGGAAGCACAGGGGCTGTCCCCACACGTATCTCCAGGCACTGAGACGGGGACTTCGCTCGCCATGAACAAAACAATAAGGAAAAAGCTAATTTGTTGGCAATCCGGACCTCTTCGGCCACAAGGATATATAAGGAATCGTCACTAGATTAAGCTTATGGCGAACAACTGGCAAGATAATGAATTAGTGGGGAATGAACTTGTGCATTTCCTCAAGACATCGCTTCTTAAAGATTGCGAACCTTCGATCATTGCAATCATTTGCAGTTTTTTTAACTTTTTTTAATTTTTTTTTTCCATATTTGGAGCTGATACCAGCTTTTTTAATTTATATTTACTTATATTTCAACATTTAAGTGCCTTTAATAGCCAGTGGCTAGCAATATAATGCTATTTAAGACATTTTAGTGTTCCTGGCTTTTCTTTCGACACAGTAGAAAATTTTGCTTTAGTGGCGTAGTCGATTTTGTTAATTGCCACCACAGTAATGTGCAGAACGTGTGCACACTAACAAAGGAAGGTACTGCCACTAAAATCGATGTTAATCTGAAGCTGTTTTGTTATGGAAATCTAAGAAGCTACGATCAGAGAAAGCCACAGAATATGCCCTTGCTATTGCGTTATAATGCTATAATCAAATAAATTAGTTCTTTTAAGAAGGTCACGAAAATTATCCTCAATCAAAACCACTATGTTTCATACCTTTTCCCACAGAATGTGTTACTTTAACTTTCTATCAAGACTTTTAGATGTCTTCATGGGAAGAGTTCCATTTTAGCTCTAAAGTAGAAAGCTACTGATAGAAATATTTAAATAACTGATTACAGTTTGCCATCCCTAAAAGGGACACTGTCACGATATATTTGGTTAAAACTGTTATAAATTCACGAAATGGTCCCTAAATTTATGTAATAAGAACTTAGTTCTAAGTAAATGATTAAAAGCAATTTCTTGAAGAAAGTCCACACTGCAGCAAAATTTTTGCAAAATTTGAACAATTTTCGAGCCAACCTTGAACCCTTGAAAAAAACTGACATCCTGATCCTTTTTCAAAATGCATATCACAATCCGATTCCATCTTCGCCTTCGTTAGCCATCCTCACCTCCTAATGGGTTTTAATCATTTGTCGAGTACTGCTCTACAAAGTAAAATCACTATTGTTCAGTTTCCAATGATCGATATATGTTGTTGAGATTTTCAAAATCATGCTTAAAATGGTAACAGTGTTTCTTTTAAGTCTTAATTTTTGAGCTTTGGTAGCATTTGCTGCCCAAAGCAAAGAGACTGAGTCATAATTTTAGTTCTGTTTGGATCTAAAATACAGAAGAAAAGCCTTTCCCCTTTGCAGTGCGACTACTCGAAACGGGACACTTGGTAAAGAGTTAACCAATGAGAGCGTTTTTTGAGAAAAAAGGCGATCTCTTTCTTAAATAAAACCAAAATTATTTAATAGACCTTTCCCGCATTCCAACAAACAACGGCGCCAAGTCGAGGTCAGGGTGGACAAAAATACAAAAAATGTATGAAAATGTCCACCCCAACCTCGCTGTGGTGCTATTATTCGTACGCATTGAAGTGGAATGCGGGAAAGGTCTATTGTAGAACAAACAATAGTTCTATAACCAAAATTGGAATCCCGCTTGTGCGCTTTTCAACAGTGGTCGATAGAGAAGTCGATAGTATTTATGTACAGTATGTCAAACAGACCCTTACTTGCCCTCACGAAAAAGGATACTAATCCATTGTTTCCAGTTTACGTTTTGATTGACTAGTTTTCTTCTAGGTGGCCTGGTTCAAGTAGACGAAATGTAAATGTCATTAAACTGTCAAAAGACTGTTTCCTTCCCGTGTCTCTTTACCTTATGAATTTTAGCCCACCCCGAATCTGGCGCATAAAAGTAAAGCAAATACATGGATTCACTATGCAATGACACAACGAAAAAAGAATGGCAAACTGAGTAAATATTGTAAAACCTAAACTACAATTTGGAAATGAACTCGGAAAGAAAAGAAGAATAAACTGAAAAGCAATAAAAGGTAGCCAGCACAATGCAAAGGCCGAAGCGATCACTACAGACATCTTCAGCAGCATTTTGTTTCTCTTCTTGTGTCGTTTATTGGCAATGGGGGTACGAAAAGACTCCATTTCGTCGTTCCGTAGTTTCAACAGCGTTATGGTCTGAAGTACGCACACTGTTATCAGCGGCACAATCAGAACAGTTACTAGTAACGCAGTGTAGTAGCGGGTATGTGTTGACTCATGATTGAAGGCCGGCTCCCAGTTTGAGACGCATACAACATTACCATTTTCTGTTTCCAAACGGAAAGTGTAGAAATATGGAGAATGAATTGCCATTGCTACAATCCAAGTGCAAAGGATGAGAAACCGTCGCTTTTTGACAGTGATTCGACGATAATGGCTTGGAAATACAACTGCCACCAACCTGTCAGCGGCAACCAAAATCAAGGACAGTGTGGACACCGCAATGGTAACATCAGTAGTGAAGGCAGCTATCTTGCAGAGCACCGATCCAATCCACCCATGGACCAGAAAAGCCGTCGAGCCTTTCATCTGAGTCACGATCTCACGAGGAAAGTGAACTATGGAGAACAAGAGATCTGAAGCAGCTATGTTGGCTATCAACAGATTCATTGTGATAGTTGATTTCAGAGAGGCGAAGATAAGCAGGGAATTCCCAATGAGTGAAGCAATCAAAAGGACGCTGTATATAGAAGCATACGTTATCGTCATAGCCTTAAAATCAATCGGCAGCAAACACATTCCATTCTGCTCAGCACTGAGAGAGACTTCTGAGCTGTTGTTGACGAACATCATAATTGAAATAGGAATGTATCCTGGCGAAAAGAACAAAATTATCAGCGAAACTGTAATAACAAGAACGCTCTATTGTAGCTTCAAAGAAGCATAATTTATCATCCTGGTGGTTTTTGAATTTATGACATACAGCTGGTGTGATGAGGGACAACTGGTAGCTACAGAATTGCTTCGGTATCATATTTTCATGATTATCATATTTCATGGAAACTTGGCTGGGAAATTCAATAATTTCTATTCTGATATTTTTTTTTTTACTTGCACTCTCATACACTATAGCCTTGTGGAGGCGTACACGCTAGCTTGTGCTCATTTTAGTCGGGTGCAGAACGCTCGAAGTAGTTTTACTGAAACACCGGTGTATATTTGAGTTGAAAAGTCACGGCTCTGCTTCTATACAAAGAAGAATGACGCCCAAAGGCAATTGACCTTCAGTTAGCAAGAACAAATGTACATCTGCGGCTTGGCAGCTTTGAAACAGAATAACTTGTTTTTCTACCTGTATTCATACGGGTTTCAGGCGGTAACCTACATATGTCAAAACTCTGAACATGCATTTTCGAAGGGCATACGACTGGAGAATGGTCCGTGAACACAGATGCAAACTCGTTTATTAACAATTATTGGTCTCGTCAACTCAATATCGGGCTTTCCTGTTAATGAATATTTTAAGCAAATTTTCATTACTGCATTACACGGTCCTAGAAACGCCAAGGAAAAGTTGAGATAGCGGTAGTCTTTCTCGTGAAGTCATAGAATAGATAATTTTTCAGCTTGAAATAGACCACTAGGGAGTGGAATACGGCTATATTAGCATCGAGAAACAGGTCGCATTTTTTTCACTAAGGCAGTAATAGGGATAGCTTCGCCAACGCAAACAGATACTAACAGAGCGAGCAGACTTATTTTTCAAGTAGCTTACCTCAGACCCACAAGATCGCCTACTACGGTGAAATTTAGAGAGGAATTAATGCTTATTTCACCAACATCAACTAAAGGCACACTGCCATATGCTCGCTAATCAAAGCTTGAAATTCAAATGAATGGAGGACAGCTGCTGTCTTAGAGAGTTCACTGTCAAGGTATCTTTACCACTGACAAGAAAAGCGACGATCGTTGAAAAGCCCTTTTTCCGGCTAACCTTTTCATTTACATCACAATTTAATGCTGGCATCCAGTGGGGTAATAATATCGAGCAATATTGTATAGTTTCAGCCAAAATTGCCTTCTATCCACATTGAAGTGTGTTGTCATGCAAATGATAAAAGTTAATCGTGAAAACAACTATTACCTAACTGTAAATTCTTAAGGTTTCAACTCAAAGATGTATATAGAATGGCTGTCATTACAGTTCTCAGTTGTTAAATATATTTAAGTAAGACGACAGAATAATTTTGAACTGTGTTTACCAAACGTGTTGACCCTTTCGCCTTGATCGTGTGCCTTCTTAATAACCCGTTCTAGTCTAGGGCAGAGCTTGCCCGCGCTGATTTTAAATTTTTGTCACATAGACAACATTCAAACTACAGTGGCCAAATTTTGTTGAAGTTTCCTAATATTCAACAGAAAACATTTCTGCTGTTGATTGTTTGACTTGTTTGATTGTTTGACGTTTCCCTGGTAATGACGTTTCAAATGGGTGCTTCACGAAAATTTTTAGTTTTAATCTTCATTTCCTATTTAAGTAAGATTTTGGATTTCATTGGAAACTAGTCGCACTTCTTGCATTTTTTACATCCTTTGTGTTTCCTTTGAATCAACTTTTGGACCCGCTGTGACAATTCTGAAAAACTCGAAAACTTGTCCCAGGATTGCGGACCCAAGATGGCGGTCATTTTGAATATAATGTTTTAGTTGACAAGTAGTGACGCCTAAAGGAGTCAAATCTAGATGTATAAAATGCCAAACCAGCTTGGTACTATTGAGTTAACACAGTTGGAAATACAAAGGGGGCAGAGAGAGCCTTCCACCCCACCCTACTGGCCTGAGAACGCATGAATATTTACAGTCGCCTTGCCGACACCCCGCTATTACTGACGCTCGCTATTACGGGCAACATCCAGCTCACCAGTGAAAGCTATAGACGTTTGACTGGAAATGGCTCCCAGTATTAAGAGTGCCTGCCTGTAAAAATCAGACAAATTCTGAATTTCGCGGCAAGGGTCGAAAATTCGATTTCGCTCATATTCTTATGGTAGATAGGCTAGGGCATGAAAAAAACTACTGGATAGTTTTTCTTGCAAAACATCCTTTTATTTCCAAGAAATAGGCAAATTACCAAATTCCGTTAAAATCGTCATTTGACGCACCATTTTACTGAACAAGTTTGAGAGCCTCGCATGCAAAA